TTTATTTAGCTTGCGGCGGGCTGAATAAGAAGGCGCAAAAAGTGTCCCCGGCCTCATGCACAAGAGGCGGATCGATAGCTATAAGAAGCCCACAATGGGGGATGCTGCTGGCCAAACAGAAAGCCTTTGAACGTCTGTCGAATCTCAGTCGGTCGAAAAAGCACCGAATTCGAAATGAACACTCCGCCGAGGTCACGCGAGATGTATCTTGCGGCATTAACCTCTGACCTTGTACGTAAGTCAAACGGCGACCAAGAGTGGTTCGGAGCGGGGATCGATCATGCTAGAAGTCGTCATCAATTTGAATGGGCAGAACGTGAATAAAAAATTTAAAAAAAATTTGTGTTTGTTGGAGGATGGACCCGGGGAGTTTCGCAACCGCTCTTGTTGTTTCCTTTTGTCGGTCCACACAGAAAAAGACTGATGAATGGGCAAACTGCTGCTGTTTATTTGCATCAAGAAAGGGACGCGCTGCTGGAATTTCTCATTTCGCCGCTCTCAGTTCCGAATAATTAAAGAGCTGAACTGGAGCTGCTAGCGAGACAAATTATACAATATGGGCACGACAAGCAGCACCGGGCCTGGTGTAATTTTATCACCGCCAAAGTGAGTGTGTAATTTAGATATGCGCGACTCTTCTACGTCGTTATGGAACATGCGTTTTTATTAACTAATCAAGCAGCTCGCGAGAGGCTCGGGTTGCGTCGCAAAACAAATGAATGCGAAGACGTGCGTGTCGCGTTCGATGTCCTATTTCGCGAGATAATCAGAGTTGACTCGGGAGTTAGTGGAAGATCTGCAGGAGTGGAGGAGAGTTAAACGCAGCGCTCGGCTTTGGCTGGGCCAGTTCCGCACTTTAATGGAGAGAATGGCCTGGATATGTATAGGCTTGTGAATGCGCCGCTCTTCGCACACCCCTTTTTGTCCTCAGCCGAAACCGGGCTGCTGGGCAAGTGTGTGTGTGCCGTGCATTTGCATACAGCGGAGAATTGAAATGTTGCGCCGCGGATCGAAAGCTAAAAGGCAAGACTGCTTCACTGCTCTTGGTTTACAATTGTAAAGTCGATATGTTCACATTATGGAAATGAAAACGAAAAGAACACAGAGGCAGCTTAAGTGCTTTTTGATGTAGGATTTTTCATAATCAAGATTCAAAACTTGAAATTCAAAAAGTTAATAGCTTTTGGGCGATTACAGTAATTTAATATCACACCTTGTCAACTAATATACAGAATTAGTTCTGATTCAGTAACAAAATTTCCAAGATAATAAGAAAGAAAATCAATAGCTATAAAAATCAAAACACTTTAAATGTATCCAACATCAGCCATTTGGATTGTAATTTTTGTCATTAGAATAAATTAATATTTTTGTTCAACTCAATTTCCAGGCAAGATTTTTCCTCTTCACCATTTTAAAATTTTATTCCGTCACTTTAATTTGCCTCTACTTTAAAAATCAAGCTTACAACAGGGCGATTATAAAAAAATATTTTTTAAAAAAAACCGGTGTACCAGAATGTTGTAGCTTTATGCACGCGGAGAACATTAAGTTCGTGCGACCGAGGGCTGTATTGTGTAATAAAATTTGCTCTCAAACTGGCCAAAAGCAGTACATGAGCCCTTTCACGGAGGCCACTCAACAACTTCTCGTGTATTCATTGCGCGCCCCTGTACACTTGCGTGTAATTAGGCTGAATAATTATCAGCGAATTTCCATCAGTATAAGAGGAGAAGGGCTTTTTCATCTTCGTCGGGTAATTTGTATGCGTATTAAATAGCCCGTGGAGAGAGGGAATGGGGGGAGCGCCCCAGTTTAATATTATAACGCGATCGTCGGAGAGTTAATTGAATCAGCACACAATTAAGACGTGGCATCTCGAAATTCTGCCTTTCTGAGGAGCCTGATAAATCAAGTTGGCGGCAGAATAAGACAAAAATATTATTAATGGTTGTTCTGAGCAAGAATGGCTGGTGCAAGAGGAAAGCGGAGTTGGCACGATGTTCCTTTTTCTCTCTCCATCCTTTTCCGTCGGCCGTGAAAATCTCGCTGATTTATGCCAAACGCCGTGTTCATCTCTCGCCTGTATTCCGCGGCAGTCGAGCAAACGAGAGAGTGAAAAAAAAATATAAAAGAAAAAAATAGGCAGGCAGGCAGAGGCGCTCAAGAGCCAGATAGTGCCGGTGCCAAACTCTTTTATTTAATTTTGCACAAAACCTGTTTGGAATCAGCGAAAAAGCTAATAGTGCGGGGAAAATAAAACACCCGTGAACACTTTGACAGCAGATTTAATCTGGCTGCACAAGAGTCCGAGATGTATATTCGGACCTGCGAGCAAGGGGACTGTCTTTATCTCTAATGATGCGTCTGCAAGCGCCGTATATAATAATATCGCGCGTTATTACGACGACTGCGGTCCAGAGATGATTATTATTCGTTGCTGAGGGCTGTCAGCGGGAAGAAAGAAGGGCCCCCAATGACTGACGCAGCGAAATGGGAAATTCCGCTGGTGCGTGCGGCATCGAGCGGAAAAACGGAAGACCTCCTGTCTATTAGGTGACAGAACCTCCTTTTTCGCCGAGAAAATGATGCGTGCCGAAGGTCTATAATGGGCGTATATCGATGCACAGCTTCGATTTGGCAACCCTCATTTGTCTTAAAATTAAGAATTCATATTGTCTCCAAAATCAAAAGTTAAAACTCAAGCGAATTTCATCATGAAAAATTGAAACACCAACCTCGTTAAATTAAATGAAAAGAATAAGAGAAAAAATAACACGTAACCCCAAAAGACGTCATGAAATGTTTGCAATTTTTATTTTATTTTATTTGCACTAAAAATTGGAATCAGGCAATTACTTATTTTCAGATCAGGATAATGATTTAAAGTAGAGTAGGGAAAGAAAATGCTCTACTAAAAATGTTCCTTAAAATATACAAAACTCAGGAAAAAAGTGACTAAAAAAAGTATTTAACTTGTCAAAGTAGAGTATTGGCTTGAAAAAATATTTATAATTTTTATCTTGGGTCCTAAATTTGCATTTATATAAATTTTATTTTATTTTAGGAAGAGAATATTTGCAGGAGAAAATTTGGGCCAATCAAGGGCGACCCGTTTGATCGACCAAAGTCTGAAAGTCGGTCGGTTTCCCCATCGCTTTCGCACCACTGGCTGAATTGTTACTTTCCCTCCAATTTTCCTGCACCTCCGCCCCGGAGCGACAATGAATCTTTCGTCGCCCGTTTTCAATACAAACACTTATCAGCTGCGGTATTTCTATTCAGCGAGAGTATCGACCCGCTGACGATATTATTGTTTTGCGTCTCGCGAGACGATTCCAAAATAACTTGGGCAGGTATGCACAATTTGGCATCCTTGACGTGCAACATCAAAGTGCGATATTTTAATTAACCCCCGCGGCGTGGAACGAGGATCAAAAGAGCCGGTTTTGCGCCTCGTAATTGCACCACCCATTTCGTCGCCCTCGTTTTATTTGATTGCGGAAGAAAAAGGGTTGCGAGCTCTTTATTCAGTTTTATGCGTTGAAAGAATTTTGCAATCGGATGAATTCGCCTCTCTCTCAATCCGAGAAGAGGAAATAAAGTAAGAAATGCGGCTGGCACCCGCTCATTCATGACGATCACGTGGTCCGTGTTCTAAAGTGGCGGTTGTGGCGTGTTGCTTCACACGCACGCCTCAAGCTGGGCCACTAATTCATTAACGAGCCCAACACTGCGACACTTTTATTCTATTGTTTGTCCTCAACTAGGCCGTACTCAAACTTAAAAACACACGAGCGTTTACGCGGAACAAGCACATAAAGCGCCCGACGGCAACAGACCCTCTCGAAATCGCTCTCATATTTCGGCGCATCTGACAAAAGCGGCCGCCGCCGTTGGAACGTGACTACGAAATTTGTGCATTAATGCGTTTGGGTTCTAAGGGTGGGTAAGAAATTTTGATTGGTGAAATCGCCCATTGTGCTGAATAAATTTATTTCAATTGAGGATTTAAAAAAGAAACGCAAAAAATTGAGAGAATTTTTCAGCAAAACGTTTATGGGAATTATTTAATTAAAATTTAACTAATTTAGGATTTTTATAAGAACATTTTTCAAGCATCTATAGAGTCCACGTTTCCAAATTATGTGCAAGTTGCTTAACCTAAAACAATAAAAAAAATATAATGGAAACCAGTTTTATTCATTGTTTTGAAAAATTAGATATAAAAACAAATATTCATTTTCCAATTTCCGATTTTTAATTGATTCGAATGCAAATGAAAGTAACCCTAATCAATTGCAAGGAAGATATTAAAAAAAAAAAATAATAATAATAATAATAATAATAACGTAGAACGTTTCAGTTGAGAATTTTGGATTTTAAAAGTATCCAAAATTTATTATAAAAAATAAACATTTTTAATAAAAGTGGCAACTTTAATAAATTGATTTTTATCATAAATTTTAAAATGTTCATTTCATGCATATTCCAACATAGAAGCTAGAAAAGTTGAAGGGAAAGAAAGAAAAAGCAGAAATTCGGACCCACTCCCTTTCCTACTTTCCTTAGTATATTCTGACTCGTAGAGGGTTGAAAAATGCAGAGAGCGTTTTTCACCCTCTTTTACCACGATGCCTGGGAGCGATTTTTTACTGTTGATGCTCGCGGGTAAATCTCCGACGGTTATGACGATGCAGTGCGGTTGAAGAACGCGGCTTGAATTCGCGATGAATTCGCACAAATTATATATTAGCATCGCTCAAAAACAAGAACATTACACAATGTATATTTGGAGCGAAAAACGCGTCGCCCACGCGCGGGACAACTTTTACGGCTATTTTATGGAGTCACTCGCTCTATCAACCGAGACGTGTATCTCTCTTTTGATTCTATTTGCAGGCAGACTACGACTCATAAGATGCGAAAACGGCGCTTCCCGAGACCGATAATAAAATTGCGGTGGAGAAAAATAAAAAAAAAGAGGGTTCGTGTCCTACCTTATGACGAAGTTGACGCACACGACGCTGATCGGCTGCTGGGCCTTGCCGCCGTGCAGAAGGGTGGCCTGCGTGAGCACCCACACATAGCCGCCTCCCTGGGCAAGGAAGCGGTAACGGCCAATTTCGCTCTGGCCCTTGGCGAACACTGCAAAATAAATTCAGAAAAATTGTTGTCAAACAAATATTACGAAATAATGACAGCGTTAATTAATCAAACTTTAGAGAAATATTTAATATTATTAATCAATTATTATTGTTTCATTTTAAAAATTTTATAAAAAAAAGTTATCAATATTTATTTTTAGGAAAAAAGTAATTTGATTTGCAATGAAATCAGAGTTAAACTTTCTGCATCTCAGTTGAAAGAATAATTTAAATGTACAATTATTATATAATAGAATTGGGAGTTTTAATTCATATTAAACATATTCTACAATCCCCCAATATCAATTTTAACTGCAAAGCCGATCAACACCCCCCCCCCCCCCCAATACAATCTCGAACACTTGATAATTTGATTTTTGATATACTTAAATAAATTATAATTCGTGTTAAATTTCTTCTATCTCACTATTTCTTAGTAAAAACTGCTGTTTTAAACTGATTCTTTACTATTTTTAAAAGATAATTTTCATCTTAGCGTCATGGTAAAATTTACAAAAATGAGCGTGAAATTGAGCTTTTCCTTTCTTCGCGTTTAGTTTAAGAACTTCTAAAGATTTATATGCTACAGAGTTTCGGTTGAACGAAATCGAATTGAAAAACAGCCGCGGTCGTAACACGGCCCGTTTGAACGTCTCAAACGCCTCTTTCATTATTTAAAGCTGCTACGGCACCATAAATTAAACTAATTTGGAAACTGGCCTGAGATTTGCATAGGTATATTCGTTCGACAAGGCCGTGTCGCTATATTACGTGAATAATCTAGTTCCTCTGCACTCTCGTTTTGATAAACTTAAAAACTTCGCACGCAGTTATTATTATTATTATATTCCCCGTACGCTTGGCAGCAGTTTAGAACTTTCGCTTGCGGGGAAAAAGAAAAGTAAAAGAAAAGTTTAAAAGTATATTACACAACTTGTTGTCAAGAAGAACGCACCCGTTTTTACGACGGAGGAAACTAAACTCGCAGCGAACTTAACAATAAGATTTATTTTGCTCGCAATCGCCGAATAAATAATTTTGCAAACTCGAAATAGAGTTTGCGTACGGGCAAAGTTTTGCAAATAGAGCTTTGGAGTGCTGATGCTCGCGAGCCAAGATTTGCATAGCGCGCACAAAGCGAGCCGTCGGTGCATGTTTGAAGACGCTGGCGGGACACAAGCGGCCTGTGAAATATCAGAGAGCGAGCACGGACGCCAACAGACGTTACGGCATTACATTACAGACACAAAGTATTTGTTGTGAAATTTATTACGCACGCCGCCGACGGCCGTGCTAATATCTTCTGGCTCCTGAATGCAGACGCTTCGAATTCGACCGCTGACGGACCGCGCGCGTGAAAAGTACATAGTGTGCAATAAGACGCTTACAGAAGAAAACAAGGCCGACCCATGGCATTTACCCCAACAAAGGGCTCCCAAGGGTGTGGGAAGGCGAGTTTCCCCCCGAAAAAAGGGCTTTTCTCGCACCGAGGGAAGATTCTCTCTTGACGTTTCATTTCGAGCTAATATCTCACCGGCGTGCTCGGCTTGTTAAAGAAGATTTATTTACGTATTTATTTTTGCAAAGCCTATTACCGCGTGCTTAGCAGGTTGTTGAACTCCAAATGGTAATTTAGCTCCGGCTGCTGCGAGATAAGAATTGAATATGTACGGATTGTTTTCGCATTGCAGCGCGCAAGTCTGTGAAGTCGGTAATAGTTTCGGCGTGCAACGTGTTGATTTGTCTGACAGTGACAAATCGAATTCTGTGTAAGGCAAATTGCGCGCAAGCTCCCCCCGAAGGCGTATCAAAGATTAATGCAACCTTTGGGCGAAATAAACGCCGCTACTTGTGGCTTCCGAAAGTTCGCAAGTAATAAAGAGTAAATAGCGCATGAAGACGGCGGTTGTTAAATTTTAATTACTAGTTTATCTACTACGAACAAGAGAATTCCAAGATCGTAATCTTTTTTGGTGGACATGTTTAAAGCTGTATTATTAGATAATAAATTATGATAATGAATTATGTACAATGAATTTAGTTTATTCATTCTGAATTTTGAAAGAAATTTTAAATGTGTTTATGAAATAACTAAAAAATATTCAATTAAAAAAAAAGATTACATAAATTGATAAATATAGCTATAATTTTTTTACGGGTATGACGTACGCTTAGTTTTTAATTCAATGATAAATTAATGATTAGAATTTTACAAAGAATCTATATTTGGAAATAAAATCAATCTGTATATAATAAAATTCAAATAAGTAGATTTCAATTAAATGTTTATATTTTTTTTTTTTGTAAATTAAAGAAATGTTATAGATATAAGGTCAATTAGAGTGGAAAAAAAATTGAAAACATGGTGATACCGGAGTATTTAAAATTAATATAATTTACTAAAACATAATAGTCAAATTTGCAGAAGGAACTGTTTAAATTCAAAATTGAAAATTGAAGAAGATGCAAATTGACCTACATTTTGGAATTTGTCTTATCAGAAAATTGGAATCAAAAAGGTTATCACTTGAGTTGACTTCTTGGTGGCAAGTAATAAAGGAAAATTGCAAATTAAATTCCAATCCGAAAATTCAGAGTGACCGGTTAAATTGCGAGCTGGAAAAACAAACTCGGTTGTGCGGAAGATCAAAATGCAAAGAAGATTGATAGTTTTATTTGTCGCCTTGCGCCTCGCGGTGGCGAAATCCAATTTCCCGGCGCTGGAGACTATCTTTATGGGCCATTGCGTGAAACAGTCTCTGGAGAGATAAAGCGAGCACGCAGCAGCAGCCAGTCAGCCACCACCACATCAAGGGTTGACGACCTGCAACTGGCGCCCCCCGCTGGCCGGCCGGGGGTAATCGGATCCGACCGGCCAAAGTGCACCGAGAGAGAAAGAGCGCAAAAAAAATGAAATGGTGCACATGTTCGCCGATTGAGTGAACCATTAAACTGCCGGTGGTCGCGCTGAGCAGCTTCAAGAGTGAAAGTAAACAAATAAAATGCGCGAAGATGAGCACGTACACCACCGGGGAGTCCCTTGGCCGGGATGAAATAAAGAGTGGACGCGTCGGTGCTCATCGAATTTATTTTGAACCGGCCGTAAAAATTATTTCGGTGTTCGCGCAACGAATATTCGCGCGAAAAATCCCGCTGTGTGATCTTGTTTCTAGAATGGACCGCCGCCACCGAATTGTCAGAGAGCGACCGCAGCACTTGCCTCTCGTATAAAAGTATGTTTTGAAATAACTCTCGCACTTTCCTTGCGGGCGCCACTAAATTTTTACTGCATTTCTTCTTCTTCTTGTGAGTCGATCAGCTTTTCGCCGGCAGAAAAAGCAGAGCATTTTATTGTCATGATGAAAAATTGCGAGATGGTCTCTTGGGATTTAGCACATGCCGCTCGCAATTCATCGCGTGTCAGCAACGAGAGCCTTTTAATTTCCTGCCAAAATTTAAGTACCGCGAGTAAATTGTCTTTTAATAATTTTCCCCGATTCTTTTTCCGAGTTCAACGACTCTTCCATAAGTCACAAGTGGTGCCGCTAGATTAGTTTTATGTCAGCATCTTGAATCTGTGTATTAGCATGCCAAAAAGCAGCAAACCACCGCAGCTGTTGAATGTGCTGCCTGTAAAATATTTATTTTTAGTTTGGCTGTATAATGGGCCGTCCGAGAACAACATAACCTGCCACAAGAGCGGCCAAAATAAAAGAAAGAAAAAACACGGGATGCAACCCTTAATAATAAAAAAAAATAAGCAGAAGAACATTCTCAAGAGGAGGCATAGCATGTAAAAACAACTAGGTGGAGTTCGCGTGCCGGCAGGCACTAATTCTTTGGGGAGATAATGTACGGGGGAGGGATTCATTTGGCTAAGAGTTTATCAAAGTGTTCCTCGCTCGACTATAAGCAACGGAAAAGATTGAAATTGCGATTTGGTAGACAAAGTCCCAGAATAGCTGGCAGCACAGGACGCTTCGGAAGCCAAGAAGTGACTCCGAGGGTCGCGACTGCACCTCCACGCCCCCACTTTCAACCGGTGCCAAAAGCCAAAAGTACGGATTACCTTGAATCTAAGCATTTGGCACGTGATGTCAAGTGACTCTTTATCAGAAAATTATTTTATCAGAAAAAGACAAAATTGGATCTTTGGCAATCATAGACAGGGAGCTAAGAGCGTCCACGTGCTGCCTATTTTAATGTCTGCTTTCATTTCGTAATGAAAGAAAAGAGAGGCATTCTCTTAATTTTAATTGCACTGCGAGTGTTTTGAGAACTTGGCAGATTTTGTTTTGAGATAAATTTAGACCCAGCTGGCTTCTAGCTGGACTGCGAAAAAACTGCTGTTTGGGCGCATGTGAATGACAGTCTAAATTAGTGCCACATATTTTCATCCTTGTCCAAATACAACATGTCACTCTCTAAACAAGTGCTAACATCACTTATGCTCTAGGATAAAGTAACGTTCTTTGGCTCAGAATCTTGTTCTTTTTTATATTGTTACAAAACAATAAAAAAAATGTCACTTTTCATGATAATAAAAGTAGACTATTCGTCTGGGAAAATAGCGCCCATTTTGCACTTGTAAACAAGGTCGTGAAATGATTTTTACAACTGGCATAAACCATCTCTATAGAAGTGGTTTAATAACACTAGTAATCACAATCAGGTTAATGACTCACAATTTTTGAAGCCCTTGTGGATGATCTCGTGGTCCAGGGCGTGGTGGAACTCAAAGAAGGAGCGGTCGATCAGGTCCTCCGGGTCGTAGCCCAGAAACTCGCCAATACTGAAAACAGAAGTTTATTAGTGATTTCAAGGATTGAAGTAAATTAATTTCCATACTTGTCGTCGGCGTAAGTGAACTTCATGTCGAGCGAGTGCTTGCTAAGGAAGGTCTGCTTGTCCAGGGGTATTTCGATGTTTGCAGGGTGTGGAATCGGCTCCCCGATGGCTACCAAGCACCTCTGCAAGGGGTCTTCTTTAGCAGTGTTTTCCTTTTTCGAGTTGCTTCCTCTGCCACCAACATCCTTCTCCTCCTTAATTGAGGCCTTCCTTAGTATGTGCCCAGTGCAATGGATGACCTGTTAAAAATCATTAATTAGAATTCTGAAATATATAATTATTTATTTAATTTACTTTGTAAGAGGCTGACTTCAGGTTGACATTTCTGCCCTTGGTGGTGAGGGTGCACTTCATACGCAGGAAAAACGACTGGGGCTGGAGAGACTCGGCCTGCACCACTGATTTAGAACTGGCTTTATTTCCGCTCTTGGCAATTCCCAGGACTTCTCGTAGTTCATCATGATCACAAGGATGGCTGAATTCGAAAATGCTATTTCCCATCATGTCCATCTGTAATGGGATGACCATAAATTAGAATTGAAATGCCCAAAATAATAGCTTTGCGTGTACTTGAACGACTTCAGAATAAGATCAGATTTATTTATATAATAAGGAAACAGAAACAATCCAATAATAAAAAAAAAATATTATAAGAGGTCTTAAAAAAATATCAGTGTCTGGTGTCTGCTTTTTTAGTACTCTCTAGAGGAGACATTATTTGTTTGCTTTACACTCACTTGGGATAATCCTAAGTGTTGACTAACATTCTCCGAAAGAAAAACCAAGTCTCCGTCTGATGATACGACAAGAAGGAAGCCTTGCAGAGCTTGCAGAAATTCTCCATCTGCAGCTCCTGTGACTGCAAGACTTCTCGAGGGAACTGAAAAAAAAAATTAAATTAATAAATTTGCCAATTAATTTGATTTCTAAATCTTTACCGAGCTCGGCCACTTTCCGTGCTTTGAGATAGGAGATGGTGAGGCGCATGATGGATGCCTTGTCCAGCGTGTTGCAGCATGCTGAGGTCAGCGGCAGGGCCTGCGCCAGGGCGGTGAAGATTTCCGTCTCCCGTCCTCGGCGACATCGGGCTGCGTCGCGCGATTTTTCCTTGCGCCGCTCAGAATTCCTGTGAACATGAAAAAAATAACAATTAAAATCTGCATAAGATAATTGAGGGGGGGGGTCGGAGCACCATTGCATTTCTAAGTGCTCGTGGTATTGGATGGCCATTTGGATGCACGCCGGGCAGCAGTGCATGCCCTGCTGGAAGTGACAGGCATGCTGGTGGTTGTGGGGGACGATTAGGGGTTGGTGGTTTCGATATTGGCCGTTATGGCACAACATGGTCCGTCGCACCTGGGATCTACACTGACGCCTCCGAGACGAGAGAAAATTCAAATCGGTCTTATCGAGTTTTATCATGTTTTTTTAGTTTGCATCAGTTTGGCAACCATAATCTCAAGATCGTGTCAAACTCTAATTGATTCTTTCTTTCCGTTCGTCCAATAAAAATAACTTGAACCTATTCACCAAAGTGAGAGTGGGGACAGACAAGGACTAATTGTTTCTTGGACTTGTTTACGGCCACAAATATTTCTGACCTGCATTACTCAATTATTTTTGACGTTTGTAAACAAGTTAAAAATGGCAAAGCTGATAAAAAAAAAGAAGAAGAAACACACACACACAAATCTTACAAGAATGTTCCTGGAAAAAATCAGATAAAATTTCTGAAAATAAATATTGAACAGTAAACATAAAATAATTAAAATTTTACGTTTTTTTTTTAGTTATTTAAAAAAAATAAATGCATAAGTAGAAAAAAAATTAAATTTCTTTTAATTTTTTTCATATACAATTTTTACTAACTAAAAAAGTAATATCTCGAAAATTTTACTACGATGCCAAATAAAAATATTTAGTTGTAATTCCAGTCCAATGATCATAGTAATCGCAGGAAGTGTAATCGTCAAGGCTCCCCTTCACTAAATTAATTTAATCTTATCACGCAGAAGCTTTGATTTGCTCTCGATGGTGCAGATGGCAGTGGCACCCGGAGCGCTAGAACATCCTCAGCACCAAGTTGGCGTTTTTGCGTCGCAAAAGCCCGCTCAAGTTGAGAAGCAGCGCGCAAGGGCAGGACCCCATTCATGCCATTTGAGAAGAGGGTCGACCGAATTTCGCCTCGGCCTCGCTTCTCGCAGCCGGCAAATTAGCCCGGTGTGTTTTCGAAGCAGCCCCACATCGACCGCCGCACCAATGACATTAATTTTAAGCCCAAAACGCACCCTTCCCTTGTCGGGCTGGGCGCGGCCAGATTACAATTTCGGGCCAAAGATCGATGCGCGACGAGCTCATTATTTATAGATCTGTGAAAGAGCGGCACAATAAAATATCCCGTTTCCTCCGCTTCTGATTGTTGGAGTCATTCTGTTTTTAGCACTCCGAGCGACCTGGGAAGTGCCTGGAAATGGTGCGGGAAATTGTTTGCAGCACCAACAAATTCTCTCGGGCGGAAAAGTTAAAAAGTTTTCAGTAGCTTTTGCCCGGGCTCAATACGGTGTTGCTTGTTCTCTTATTTTCTTTGGTGAAAGGCGAAAACAGGTCTTTTTTTCCAACTCGAAACACCAGAAATCGTGTAACTTGAAAGTATAATCAAGCGAGCAGAGAAGTTTCCGACCGAATTTTTTGTGCCTCTGCACGACTCGGTGGCGCCGCAACGCTCGGAAAAGTATCAGTTGGGCAAGATAACGTGGCGTGCTCAGTGTTGATTTACAGACGGTGCTGGTTTTATTGGGCACTTTCTGGAATCGATTTCCTCTCAGGGAAAAAGTTGAGCGCAATATGAGTCTATTTTGGAACAGAGGCGTGCCGGAATATCATCGATGATATATTCATATTTTTTGTCAGTTTATAAATTTTTTGTTCTTTGAAGCAGTTTGGCTCAGGTCGTTCACTGAAAGGGGTGATATTGCACATTTTTGGCATTTTGCACTATTTTGAACTTCAAAATTATATTGACGAAATTTTTTTAAATTTATTTTTAATAAGACTGTAAGTAAAAAAAAGAGATTTTAAAGAAAATTTAAATGTTATAGTGTAAATTAAAATCAAAGTCCCAATAGGATACAAACTGGAATTATTGACGAATTTGTTACACAACACAATTATTAGGATGTTTATTATTCCATAATAATGTGTGTGCTCATGACCTAGTGATCGAGTCAATTCCTTTCATTGTACATAAATACACAGAACAAACAAATCGAGAGCATGTGATCAATGCAACAAAGCCATTGCATAATTGAGAAGTACGCCAGTCTCGAAATAAATAAATAAAACCACACGCGATTGCTTCGAATTTAAATATCCTATGAATTATCAGGAGCGGGCGATGAATATTTCTATCCACCGCATGCGGGTGGTTTATTTGAAATTTGAATTTTATCAACAACACGGTAACGTATTTATAAATAAAAATTTTAGTCCATCTCATGGCTGTGTATTTATTTGCTAGAGCAAAATCGTGTTCATCGTCAAGCGCAATTTATTGACCATAAAATTAATGCAGATATTTTTTGTGACGCATTTTGCGTATCACTTTCCTTCCAGCTTGCCTTGCAAATCGAATCGCGAAACTACGCGGTAATTATGTATGGGCTTATTTTAATCCGAAGGTGGATATATTCGCGCAGACGTCATTGCCTGCGAAAAAGTTGCCCTCGACTACCCAGGCATGCCATTAGCACTGGCTATTAACGTAGAGATTTACGCGACATTTGGTTGGAAAATGTGCTCGAGTCGCTCCGTTTAGAAAAAGAATTCCCGATCGCAGGCTGTGTTTAGCACACGGCGAAGAAGTGAAAGTTGGAGCGCAATCGCCGTCTGCGTCTAGCTATAGTTTCAATAACATTGAGCCTGCAGGCCACTCGAATGCACTTTTCCGCCGCGCTCTGAGGCTATAACGAGTGGGATAGGCGGACACGTGAGGTCCCGGCAAACATGGATTTAACTCGCGCGCGGCGAGCGGACGATACGCTTTAATGCATGTTTGCTTACATTTTGCAACTTTTGTTCAGTCTTGGTCGCGGTAATTTGCATCTCTTTGCGATCGTACGATTGTAAGTACACGAGCAAGTCAATAACAAGTCAATGATATTGCTCTGTTTATTGTTTGCATTGGGCAGAAGGTGAAAGGTCAAATGGGAGATAAATTTAGGAGCAATTATGGCGTTGACGCGCGCGTCGGGCTTTTCAAGTTCACTACTCCCATGTAAAAATTTATTACTCGAGCCGTAAAATATGAGATGTTGAAATAAAACTTTTAATTTGACAGAAGAAGAGATTTTAAAAGCTTTATTGATATTATTTAATTTGGGCAAAAGCAAAGTTTTCTTCGGAATTTTTTTATTTGTTCAAAACTTCAAGTTCATCGTTTAAAAAGCTTGAAATTTATTAATTCAACTCATATTGTTCTAAATTCAAACAAAATTCAACTTTTGTCTTAAAATTATAATCGAAATTTAAAAACTATCCTTTATTGTTAATTGAACTAGTGAAATGAAAAATAATTTGCTAATTTAAAAATATTTTTATGATTTGTTGTAAATACTTGATATTTGATTTTTATTTTGTAGTTCTTTGCTTCTGAATTTATAATAAAGAACAATTAAGTCTCTTTCAGCGATATCGCGATTCAATCATTGTTGCATGATTGATTGATTATTGCAGTTTTTGGAGCTATTTAAAAATAATTTCAATTGATTTCCTGGTTAATACATAAAAAGACTGCGGATATAATTTGATTAAGAAATACGTAGAGCAAAAACAATTTAGATAAATCTTTCCCTTTCATTTCTTGGAATATATAAATACTGATGATGGCTATTACTCACTATTCTTTTAAAATCAACCTCTAAATGATTTACGATTCTACTGAAAGGTGCTAATTAATGTAAAAAGTGGTACATATAGAGTCACCTCCAGGTGCATGTTCAACGTAGTTTAAAAAAGCTGTACATTGTAACTCCAATGGACGCGAGTTATTTTATCGCACCACCAACTTCCTTCCCGCTCTCAATTTCAAACAGTCGGCGACCAGCAGACTGAAAAATTTACGTTTCCTTTTTCATTTGGGAATTTAGTGTGCATGTCAGCAAAGAGGAATATGCAAGGCAAAAAAAGTTTATGAACAGATCTGTGAAAACTCGCCTGACAGCTCGGCATTAAACTTTACAAATTATTACATTTTTTCCCGCCAATTAACTGATATAAACGTTTTGCTTTGACAAGCCCTAGCGATTAAGTGTATTAGTTTCACGGCGACAAATTATGAAAACCACTCTTCTCACTTAAGGCGGTACTCACCTATTCCGCAATAAAAAAATTTTATGCGCCCGGTTTACTAGTACCAGCTGCGTGTACGCAAATCTTTATTCAACTCCAAGTTACGATGTTTGCACGTGTTGAAAACATTATTATTTGTTATTTGTGTACATCGGCGTTGAAAGGTAATCGCCTACGGCAAATAATAAAATATAAATACAAAAACGCGCGAGGTGGGCCGCGAGAGAGTAGAAATTTTCTGCGTAATCTTTTTTGATCTCGGCAGCAAGAAGCTCGGAGGTTAATTGAATAAAAAAAGAAAAATAAGAGACCCTTGAACGTCGCTAATAAGCGTTTACTTTGAAGTCACGAACAGAGAATCCGCCTTTATTGGCCATAACATAACTCCAAGACGCAGCAACGGCCGCGAACTATTCGAGACTCGCCGCGGCCCCTCCAAAAAGCAAACAAAAAACTTAACCCTTCGCACTCCGCGTCTGAAATTTAAATTTTAGTTTACAAATTACGTATTCCGTCCAATAAATTAAGCAAACCTCTCTCGCGATTAAAATGCAAATGCATAACAAGTACCAGCTGTGTCGCAAAACCCTCTTTCGTTTATATGGCCCGTAATTACAAGTTTCGGCGGCGGTGCAGGAGGCGAAAAAAATGAGTCGCGTCTGGTCCGGTCCGTTTGAGATGTTAATAAATTTAATTACGCGCGGCTCGACCGCCCAACTCCTTTTTTGTCTAATGGTTATGAGTTCGCCGAGAACGCGAGCGCAAGAATTGAAAAACCGCGAAAAACAGCGGCGAGCAGGAAAATTTTGCGTGTGGCTTCGCGTCCTAGCCGCTGACGTCAATTCGGAAGGTCGCGGCCGTTCAAAATTCAGACCGGGCGCAGGTATACGTGCCAAACACGCGTAGACCCATGCCCGGTTTTCGAAAGGGCGATGGATCGAATAACCAGAAAATTCTGCTGTTTGTTCAGGGGTGCGCAATAAAATAATGTAAACTTGTTATAGGGCCTCGACATTTTTACGCTGGACTCCAGTAGTGGGAGAATTTTCAGGTGCGGAATAACAATTTTTTTTGCTTATGAAGAATTAATTAAAAATTTGTAATGAATGACGTCTTTTGCCTACTACGCATTTTATTTGAACGTTGAACTCGCTTTCGTGCAAATAAATATAAATAACCATCCAGTCTAACTAACAATGGTGCTAGCCTAGCCCTAAAAAAATTATTTCTAGATTGCAGTAAATTAACCAAAGTGATCAATAATAAAAAGAAAATCCTAGCACATTTTAGAAAATCAATAGAAATATTTTGGACAAATTTATTGTAAACAAAAATTGATAGTTTCGCAAAACTGCTGTTTTCAGTCCGTACCTAGAATCTGTTCGTAAATATTTTTGTTCCGTTGATTTCATGTTTTCGTTTGAATTTGAATTGATTTCCCTTGCAAAACGATTTTTGGGAGCTGGAATTTAATCCCAATCAATATAATATGTATTTTATAGATCTCGGGTATATCCGGTGTTGGAGACGATAAAACAGTTTGAGTCATACGCCGTGAAATTTACAATGCTAAAAAGGGCTACGAGTTATATGGATTGATCGCATTTCCATGTATGAGCATACGACGGCTTTCTTTTTTTCGTCTGCTCGCTCAGCATCTAAAGTGACGCAGCTGAAGATTAAATACTTTGTCCCCTCCGTGGCCGCTCCTCGCACGTTTTTGGTCTGGTTGATCTTTCCGTTGCAAATAATACGTTGTTTGAGCTCTATCGAATAAAAAAAAAATTTTTGAATTATAAAATAAATAATTATCAAATGTTTTACATTTTGCTAGGAGAGGAAAGATTTAAAAATAATTTTCTGTTTATCAAACTAATGATTCCGTTATATAGTTCTCACAAAATAAATGTGTTGCTTACAAAAAAAAAAAATCACTTCCATCGTCTGTTTTTAATTAATTCTGCGCTCGGTTGGATATTCTGTCCACCAAGGCTATCTGCATAAAACATGCAAATAAATAATGCACCGCGGCCATTCACGCTGTCACTGTGCGAAAACGAGCCTGCAAAATTATGAAAGTTGATTATAGGCCTCCTTGATTTTGCAGTAGATTATGTCAATCTCATCGGCCCTTTGCAAACCTCTGCCAAAAATCTCGACGTGATGCAAAATGTGTTATTTTTAACATCGCGCTCGAATTCGGAGCTCGAGATTTTTTAATCTGAGGGATTTTCTCAGATCAGCAGCAGATAATTAATTAATTGCTTGATTGTGATAAGTTGAGGGTTTGTTTTACAAATTGTGCATGACGCAAAAACACTCCAGGGAAGACAAAAAGTAGTGCCGCCGAGATAAGACCGTTTAAGGTTGATAGCTTCGACGCAAAGTCCAAACCCAATGACCTGGCACAATCCAAGGCCGTTCAGTCAGACACGTGATTTTGTTTTACGCGAGCGTTCCGACAAAGTAGCGAGAATCCAGCGGCGTGCGAGACTAGTTCCAGCTTGCCAGCGTCCTTTTTGCAACAATTTCCGCATTTAATGAGATACACAAAGACAAGGTTTTCCACTTTTCCGCGAAATTGATAGAATATTACGTCATTATTTGATAAGCATGGCATTCTCATTGATTTCAAAATAGCCTAAATGGTATCTCAAAAATTTTTAAACGATGAACTAATATAACAGTGAAAGCTTATTGTGAGAAGTAAACATAGAATATGTTATAAATTAGTATTTTCCGTGAAAAACGAATTACTTGCTTTTTTATGCAAATTCCCTGTTATTGAAATATTAAAAAAAAAAAAATCCTAATATTTTAAATTATTCACATCAGTCACGAAAATGATAAGGTCGAACAATGATTGTTAGATGGAAAGATGCATTAATCTTCATAAAAAATAATTCGGTGCTTTTTTTACTTCATCTCAATGCAAAAAAAGGTTTTTAATTAAAGCTAAATATTTCACATATCCGCTGATGCTTGGGATGTTTTTTGGCTCCTCTAATTTGCACTTTAAATTCACAAGTCTTGTTTATTCCCGTTTCGCCTTTAAAAACCAAGAATTCTTCCACAACTATTTCTATTTTCATAAAAGCCGAAACGCAGTGATAATAAAAAAGAAAATAACAGGCAGATCTTGGCAAAAAGCGGCTCGTTTATTCTCAGACTTGATTTGCATCGAGACCCTTTTGAAACTATTTTTAGATCTGAAGAGAAATAAAAAAGGCCCAACAGCTTTTTCTTCCACTTGGATCTAGAGTCGTGCCAGAATTCAATTAGAATAGAACGCGTGTCACGAGATATTGCCCGACAAATAGTTCTCGTATTTTTTTCGCCACTGTTTATTCGACGTGCCGTGTTTCCGCGTGCGAAGGCGCTCCACTTCTCGCGTGTCGTCTCCGCGTTCAGGGCCGACCGGTGGCTGCGGCGGCAGAGAATTCTGGACAGACGCTCACACCAAGAGATCAAAAACCCCATTTTTTGGAAATTCCACGTCATTGCGAATTCGCGACGACGAGACAAAGGGCAATCTCGAGGCAGTTGGCGCTCGACCAGGATTATCGGCACCCTCATTACAACCTGCTAAAGGCTCGGATTGGAGCGGCAGATAAAAATACTAAATAAATTCTGTTGAAACGAGCGACACCGGGTTTCATTTTAACTGCAATTTATCGACGAGGCCACGCATTTTTTTTTATTCTATATGACTTCAGGTTGCAAAATATTCGGCTGCAATAACAATTAGGTAAAGATTTTTTCGTTCCAGATTATC